AGGTTGCTGTGAGCTAGGCTGATGCCTCGGCACTCACTCTAGCCCAGGCAACAAAGTGAGACTCTGTCTAGAATAGAATAGAATAAATAGTTCTACCTTTCAAGTAATTTATTAGGCCAGAAGTCCCATGATTAATTGCACAAGCAACATAAAGAAGATAAAACTTTAGAGGCTTTTAGTCCCCTACAGAATATACACATCTTGATTGTTAATGATCCTACATTAGAAAACATTCATATAAAAAAGCAAACATGAAAGCATATTGAGTACAGGTTCTAAGCTGCCTAATCATAATGATCATACCATGAAAGAATATAAAATTGTTCATTTATTTCTTCCTTCATTCAAATATTTAATGGATTGTCATATATCCAGTCTTATGCCAGGAACTTTTGATATACTGGTTACCAAAAACACATTTGGTTTCTCTTCTCCTGGAGCTTAGTCTAGCGGAGGAAGCAAACATAAGCAAAACCATTGCCCACACACATAAAAAAAATGTTTACCTAAAAATTGGGACTAGGGCTGTGAAGAAAATTATTCTGCAGCAATGCAGGTTGTTAAGTAGCATAGCAGCAAATGCAGACCTGCATTTTAGGATAAGAAAACTATCTTGCAGTTAAATGAAATTACAGTGTAGAGAGGTATTTAAGGTAGCAGAACCACATTACTACATTAATACAATGTTAACATTCTTCTAATTCTTATGAAAGTTCCAAGGAATTTTCAATGATTACAAATCCAAGGTAAGTTTTGTTGCTGATATCCTCAAAGCACTCTGGTCTTGCCATAGCCACGCTTCTTTCCATGGCCCTGCCAAGCCTTCAGAGCCGAGACCACCAGCTTCACTGTCAACATAGCTGGCCACCTATTTCAAAACAGCAGATTCTACCCACCTGATTATCTAGTTTCAGCTGTCGAAGCCTCATGGTCTCATCTTCAAAGGCACTATTTTAAAAAAAATAAAGAAAAAAAGCATGTAAAAAGCAAATCCTGTTAAATACTTTATATTTTATTTTATTTTTTGAGGCAGGGTCTCCGTTGGTCTCCCTGGCTAGAGTGCAGTTACATCATCATAGCTCACTGCAACCTCAAACTCCTGGGCTCAAGGGATCCTCCTGCCTCAGCCTCCCAAGTGCTGGGACTGCGGGTGTGTGCTGCCACGCCCAGCTAATTTTTTGTTTTTTAAATTTTTTGTAGTGATGAGGTCTCACTAAGTTGTTCAGGCTAGTCTTGAACTCCTAGCCTCAGGCGATCCTCCCACTTCAGCCTTCCAAGTAGCTGGGACTACAGGCTCTCGCCACCACGTCCGGCATGGAGCCAATCAATTCTGCCTTAAATAAAGTATCAGTTTCTAGATCCTGCCCACACTGACTGAGAGAGGACTCTCCATCCTTAATGACAAACTTATTCCACAGAGAGCCTGAGAGGGCTGAATTACCCAAAAGATAAGAAAAAGATGAGAGCACAGACTCCACGCATGCATCTATTTCTTTTTGTTTTAAGCCATATATTGAGTATGCATTATGCTCCAAACACACAGCTAAGTATTTTACATGCATTACAGTATTTATTCCTCAAAACAACCCTATGATCTAGGTACCATTATTTTTCACACTTTGAAGATGAAGAAACAGAGACTTAGAGAGTTGTGTGGAAGGTTAAACAAGCAGAAACAGACCCTAATCCTGATCTCCTGCTAGAGTTCAAATTACACCTAAAAAATCAAGTATATTTTACTTCTTTTTGGAGCTTGTTCTAGGAGAGGGAAAATTAAACTGTGTAGAGCATCTTACTAGAGCCCATTGATTGCCTTAAGGTCTGGGCAAATCACGTAACTTACTCTCCAAGTTTGCCATTAATAACACTTACTATGCCAGTAATCAAAGTGTGAATAAACAGACAAGATTTAATACCACTGGGAGACAGATTTGTTTGAAGGAAGAAAAAGCAACAAAAATTGAATCAAAACTACTATCTTCAGTTGATAAACCAGACCCTTTGAACTTTTTTTTTTTTTTGAGA